CAGCAAAATGAACCACCAACTATTTCAGCATATGTTTTACGCAGCGGACGCCTTTCCAGCCCCAACCCAGTACTGGAAAACACCCATATAGAGCATGTCCTATACCACATGTCCTTGGACTCTGAGGGAAACTGGAGCACCCAGAGGAAACCGTGTGAATACGGTGAGAACTTCTTACTGTGAGGTGACGGTGCTAACTACTGAGCCACCGTGCGATATGCTCCAGCAGTTAAGACTTGAAACTATACACTGACATCACCCATAGATTTCTAAAGAGCACAAAATAAACTACAACTTTTGTTTGCACGTCATGCCAACTAGGGGTTGCCAAAAAAGGACTAAGAGGCGGAGCGTAGGCGGAACGTAGGCGTAGCATAAGTGGAGCTACAAATGCCTTCTAGCACTTTGCTTAGACAGGCTTTTGTTGTACACTATATCAAAAATACTGTTGTAATACATTGAGCCACTAAACATTGTTCTTATGAGATTTTTCTACAGGAGGAAAATGTGAATTACTTCCAAACACTTCAAATATAGTCTGTGTTAGTAAATGCAAGGCTAATTATGAAATCCAGGCATAACACTGTATGACAACACTTTAGATGACTGTCCTACAGCCTATACAACTAATCAATCTGTCAGATTCTGGAGTGCATTACTGGTCTAAAGAAAAATGTAAATGATAAATGATCTTAATTAAAACAAATACATTTATAGAGATGGTATATAAGTAAATAATTTCACTTACCTGAAATGGAGGCCACTTACTGTAAATGATTTGTGAACACAATAAAGGGCACACAGCAAGCCATATCATCTGATAATTGTAGGAAATAATTCCAAAAGGCAATGGACTGTGTAAAGCCACATAAAACGAAACAAAAATACAATGTACAGCCGTTTACTTTCATAGTATTTTGTATTCCTTCTATTGGAGTCATTTTTTCCTACCATTGAATTCACCGCTGTCCAGCATTCTTCAAGATATCTTCTTTTGTGTTCCACAGAAAATAAGAAACTCAATGGTTTGGAGCCACTTGAGGATAAGTAAATGGGATTCAATTTTCTTTTTTGGGTGAACTATCCTATTAAGAGTCTCTGAAGGTCTTGAGTCTCTTAAGTGGTGCACTCCGATTTAACCATAATAGTCATGGTTAGAAATGTATGAATTGCATGAATGAAATGCTTTTGTCATTTTAGGGACTCTATTTCTTCTATGTCCGTGTAGGCCAATCTAATTTCATTCAAGTGCCTTTTAACCTTCAATTTGTTTTTGTTCTGTACAAGCAAATCCAACTTGAATACATGATTTGTGCATTCAAGCTTGGGGAATAAAAAAGGAAGAACTCGGTTTTCTTAAATTTTTATTTTTATTTTTTGCTGTTTTTTTTTAGGATAGCTGCATGCAGTGCATTGTAACTGTGTTGCATTATACTCTGCATCCTCAATTTTATGGACTGTTTTTAAATGGTTGTCATTTCAAAATATTGTGAAATTAAAGCTCAAAGCTGTGCTTACAAGTTAAAATAAACTCTCAGAAAATGTTAGTACTACAACTACATTATTGACTAGTAACTTTTATAGAAAAACAAGAATGTGGGAGAATTGGATCCCAAGAAAATGTTTCAAAACCCAATGTTCCAATGTTCTTGGTGTGTTACCGTTTGTGTGTGTCCACATAGTTAACAGCTTACAATAAGGTTCTATTACTTAATGTTTGTTCATTTACAAACATCAACAAAACTTTTTTTACAGCTTTTATTCTTCTTTGTTAATGTTACTGAATTAAAATTATATTGTAATCCTTGTTAACTCCATCATTAACCGATTAATAGGATTTTAGCTCAAATTCATAAATATTGAAATGATCAATATTATTTAATACATGTTGTATAAGTATTGTTCATTCTTCATTCACGTTAGTAAATACATTTTAATAACATTAACTAATAGAACCTCATTGTAAGGTATGCATGTTTTTTGCTTATTGTGAGAACACACACTGACTGCAAACATTTAGCCCAGATTTTCTTTCACTGAGAGTTTTGTGGAAATCACTAACAAATACCAAAATCTGAGGCAGATTGATGGCAGATGTAAATGACAGTCATATTGTGTGTACTGTATTTTCAAACATACTGTGTATTTTTAGAGACACTAACTGACAGAACCACCAAGGTTCCTCCTTTTATAATGCCATGAATAATTTTGCTGAAAAAGCATTTTTGTTTATTGTAATTGGATGATATAGAATTTGCATCTTGTATTAGTGCCATGTGTATTATTCTGAAGGTGTTTTATTATCATGCAAATTACCATGTGTGCAGTCTGTGTTTAAGGTTTAGGCATAATGTGTGGGGTTTTTTGTTGACCATAATTCATATTGTGACTTGCTATTTCACAACCTGTATATTTTTGGTAGTGTAGATTTTAAGGTCAAAAGCACAAGTAGATTTGTAAAATAAATTATAGATCAAAATACAGTGGGCCCTATCTTACACTCTGTGCAATAAGGCACAAGTTGTGTTTGCACAGTTTTTTTATTTGCTAATTTCTTGCACAATTAATTAATTAATTAATTTATTTTACTTTGTGGATTCATGGGTTTGCCGATCTATGGTGTATTAAGGTGCATTTTTGACACATTGCTATTTTAAGGAACTGAAATAGACCGCGCCATTGACCAACCAATTGCAGGTCTAAAGTCCAGCACAGAGCACGTTAGTTATGCGCCTATGCAGGTCCAAAATGTGTACACGTTGCTTAATACACACAGGATGTACAGCAATACACAAATATCTTTATAAATGAAAAATAAAAATGCAAGATTAAAATGTTACAAAAATTTATATTTTCTACATAAATATAAAAACCACTGCCTCCATGCCTTTTTTATGTCGGGGGACCTTTTTTAGTTTATTCATGACAATTTGTATAATGATTTTATTATTAGCAGTATTATTTATTAAATGCATATTTATATTTGTTTTAATAAAAACCAGCTTAGATTTGTCCACCTGTTGGGTTTTGGACCATGGGGAGTAAGCAGTGCGTTTGGATATAACTCAGTTTTTTGACCACACTTCATTATTATTGTTCATTTATTCGTTTGCTGGATATTAAAACTTAATTTAACATTTTTGAAACAAATCTTAACAAATGAAATTAAATATGTAGACTAATAGATGTCTTCAAGGGAGTGCGCACAACACAGTTTCCTTATCGACAAAAGTAAAAGAGTAAAGTAAAGAGTAAAGGTAAATTAAAGAGGCCGAACAGAGGAGGCTCAACCCTTATTCTCGCTACAGATGGTTTGTTTAACTGTTTTCTTGCTAGTGAAGCATTCAGCTTTTACCACTTACAAAGTCCGCCATATAAATAGCGAAAAAGGGAATGTGAGATGAGACTATGATTGGCTTAATTCATGTTATGTTCAAAACTCACCCATTTCTTATTAAGAGAATATGAACAACCCTGTTAGACCATGTGCTGAGGCATAAACCCTATTTTTTATACTTACAATGGCAAAAGTGCATTCGGACATGCCCTTAATGCTTTTGCGCCATGCGCTTTATATTTTGCGCCTAGATCGGTAAAAAAGAGCCCAGTATATGCAATACCTGTAACTTTTTCACTTTTTTTTAATCCATTTAATGAATATCACCATTCTTTTCCATCTGCCTAAAAAAGACATTAGTTTTAGGCCCTGTTAACCGGGCATCAGTTGCTTAGCAATCCCTGGTCATGCCCTCACTGTGCTCCAGACTTCCTGTCAGAGAGACAGACGGGTTTGACCTCTGAATGACATGTCTCAAACTTGACATCCTGTCAGAGAACACGTAAGCAATGTCAAATGTGCCTGCTGAACCAACTGTGAACCTTACTCTTGTCTTCCTGGTCGGTTCCCATGGCAACGGGATGGTTATGATGCCTTGTGAATTCATCTGTCTTCTCGAGGATTTCCATCAAGAATATCAAAAAATGCTCAAACTCTGTATTTATTAAGATGTTTAATCTTGTTTGAAGTTTTGACAGACATTGTTCTTCCATTTTCCTCCTAGTTTGACATGCTATTCCTCCCCCTCTCTCTTTGATCTTGTTTCTGTCTCTGTCTGGGAAACAACACATTTCATCCATTCATCATCGATCTGTTAAACCCAGCATGCAAGAGACACAAAGAGACGTCTTTCTCTCAAATTGCCAGTCTGTGAACATCATTCGAACGCAAAACATTAACTTAGATTAAACCAGAACATTTCAAAAAGCATTTTTTATCAGTGGCTTGAGACTTTATATGTCCTTTATTTAAGAACATTCAACAAGCTAAAAGGTTCGAGAAAAGACTGAAGAGAGGATGAGAAAAGGAAACTGGATGTCTTGGCACTTTAGTGATTTTATGTCACTCACAATCACAGAATCAATATTTTCCGAGTGCATGTGTACATGTGTGTTATGTGTAAGTGTTTTGAGCGTCTGACAGCTAAAGGATCTTATCGCGCTCCTTTGAAGGATGTTGATCTTTGACGCTGCGCACCTGCTAAACAGGTTCTCTTATCCGTCAGTGCTGAAATTACAATTACAATTTGATGATCACAAAACACAACAGAAAGCATGTTCAGGAAAAGTGAGAGAAGCCATTTCCTCAGCAGAGTAAAGCCGGCGATTTTGATTTATAAGATCATGCTCGTTTTAATTAGGTAAAGAAGCTTTCTAAGCATTGAAAAATATCTTGAAGGCGTTATAACAAGCATCCCATGGCTGAGCCTCTATTTTGGCATTGATTTGTGCGTAAAATGCTTCCAGTTCCTTCTGCAGTGAGTGGTGTGATATTTCAGCTGGATCAGAGGTGAGATGCTGCGCTGGTGATAGCAGAGGTCATTTGAGCTGAACTCTAGACATGTACTTCACTATAATGTGAGCTTCCTTCCATTCTCATCAATCCAGCGTAATCAGAATGAATCTAATGGAATGTATCTCTGTGTGTGTGTTTCTTCTTTCAGATGCACCAGTGCAGAGACAGAAAGCTCTGACAGAGCTTGGTCAAAAAGGTGACGTCGCTTCTCAGGAGACGTCGTTAGATAAAGGTAAGAATAATACACATGCTGAAAAGCACGATAAGACCAAATCAGATAAGCACAAACACGCTACTAAAATGCACCACCGAACGGTGGAATGAAAATGAATGCGCGTATGTGTGTGTCAGATTGAAACACACAGTGATATATGAGGCCTGAGAAATGGAGAGTAGTGAATTTTCCTTAGCCGGAGAATGAACACACACACACACACAAAACATCAGGCAGCAGACGTAAATGATAACCTCAAATTGGATTGTCGGATGAGGCCGTCACAGTGGTGCAGTGGGTAGCATGATCGCTTCACAGCAAAAAGATCACTGTGTGGAGTTTGCATGTTCTGTCCGTGTTCGCGTGGGTTTTCTCTGGGGGTTTCTCTAAACATGTTCTCTCCGGTTTTCCTCACAGTCCAAAAACATGCGATTTAGGGTAATTGGGTAAGCTACATTGGCCATAGTGTATGTGTGTGAATGAGAGTGTATGGGTGTTTCCCAGTGAACGCAAAACATATGCTGGATAAGTTGGCAGTTCAGATTAAACCCCAGATTAAAAAAGGGACTAAGCCAAAAAGAGAATGAATTAATTAATGACTTGTCGAATTGACTTTTTCTGTGAGCTATTTACATATTTTTACTTTTTTACTTCACGATTTTTGTCACCTCAAAGCAAGAAGGTTGCTGGTTTCAGTCTCGGCTGGGCCAGTTGGCATTTCTGTGTGGAGTTTGCATGTTCACCCCATGTTCACCTCCGGGTGCACCTGTTTCCCCCATAGTCCAAAGACATTATGTATAGGTGAATTGAATAAATTAAGTTGTCAGTAGTGTGTGTGTGAATAAGTGTGTACATGTGAGTGAGTGAATCAGGTGGAAGGGCGTCAGCTGTGTAAAACATATGCTGGAATAGGTAACGCATAACCAGTGCTGATCACCAAATGATCTGAGAGATTCATCACTACTATAGTAGCACAATTCCATCAGTAGGATCCATTACCTTTGTCTTGTGGTTGGTTTGTGTAATGCAGTTTTGTTTATGCTACCATTTGTCATCAACTATTGTGATAATCGCTCTCAATTTCAGCAGTACTAAGTAAAATTTTTAAACTAATTTCGGGAAATTGAGACTAAGCCGAAGGAGAATGAATGAATGAATGAATGAATAAATGAATGAATGAATGAATGTAAAGTGGTAAAGGTTCTTTTGTCTCATCACATTGACTTAAAGCAGATAATTTATCAGTCTCATTCATTCATTCATTCATTCATTCATTTTCTTGTCGGCTTAGTCCCTTTATTAATCTGGGGTCGCCACAGTGGAATGAACCGCCAACTTATCCAGCATATGTTTTACGCAATTAACCATTGTGAATCAAAAACATTTGCCAAAGATGGGTTGCAACTAGAAGGGCCACAGCGGATTGAACCGCCAACTTATCCAGCATATTTTTTACAGAGCGGATGCCCTTCCAGTCGCGACCAATCTCTGGGAAACATCTACACACACTTATTCACACTAATACACTACGGAAAATGTAGCCTACTCAGTTTACCTGTACGGCATGTCTTTGGACTGTGTGGGAAACCGGAGCACCCGGAGGAAACCCACGCAAACTCGGGGAGAACATGCAAACTCCACACAGAAACGCCAACAGACCCAGCCGAGGCTCAAACCAGCGACCTGCTTTCTGTAAGGTGACAGCACTACCTACTGCACCACTGCATCGCCATTTATAGATCTGAAATTTTCAATTCATAATGCTGAAAATTGACAAAAAAGATTGCAACATTTTGCTGTTGGTAAAATTATTATTATTATTATTATTAATATTATTATTATTATTATTATTATTATTATTGTCAACTTTAATACAGAGTTCTCCCTGTTATTGTATTTATAGTTACTAGTTAGTCTATTTTTGATAGCTCTTCCAAGTAATAATCCACTTTAAGATCCGGTTACTGCAACTGTAAGCTTTTCTAGTAATTTCATCATTGTCTATGCAGTTATGAGAACTGCTGTGAATGCGGATGAGCTGCCCATTCATTTCCTCTCTGGCTTGTTTGTTTATTATTATTCTCCATGACAGTGAAAAGTACATGACATGAGCTGAACTAAACCTGCATCCCTGATAGCCACAGTGCTCTGATGCCTTGTTATTGTGGAGATTCAGCTTTAGAGCACCTGAAAATCATCTGAAAGTGTAGTTGGTTACTTCATATGTCATTCGGGTGACTGTCAGGTTCCTATTTAAATGGCTGGAATAAGATGCATTGTGGAGAAGCGGTCCAGTCTGGCTATGCAAGGCTGCACACATTCACTCTCTAGCGAACATGTCAGCAGCCTGTCACCCCCTTTGCAGTTTTCTTTTTCTCCACATCCTAGCATATAGGCAGAATGAAAAGAGAAGAGGTGGTAAAGTGGTAGAGAATAAAGCATCTCATGAAGGGATCATTGTTTTGTTTTACAGTCAGCATAATGGAATGAACCGACTTTTAAATTGCGATTAGTGTAAAGTGTTCACATCACATGTAACCATTACTGAGAGCTTCGACTTGTGCCATATGACCGCTGCACTACTTGACATATTAATGCATATTAATTTTGTCGTTGCCATGGAAATACATAAAAGACGTGGAGCACCCAGAGTAAAATGTTATGGGCTGTCAACTCATAATTATGATAATTACATCAAGCTGTGAATGCTACATAAAGGATCTACATATTTGTTGTACTCATTTTCAGCTCATTTGAGTTAGTGTTGTAATATGAATAGAAGTGAATATGTGCTTAATGCAAAGTGGGAAAAGGTTGTTGTCTCATCACATTGACGTGAATAGCATGATTTACATGTAGCACATAATTTATCTGATGTTTTCAATTCATTCATTCATTCATTTTCTTTTCGGCTTAGTCCCTTTATTAATCTGGGGTCGCCATAGTGGAATGAACCGCCAACTTATCCAGCATATGTTTTACGCAGCGAATGCCCTTCCAGCTGCAGCCCATCTCTGAGAAATGTTTGTAATTCACAATGGTTACATTTGACAAAAAATGTTTTTATTTATAAAGAAGCTTTGAAAATGCAAAATTTAGCTGCTTACATCTTACCCTTCACACTTTCAATTTTAAATTTGCCATATACTGCATTGGTTCATTAAGTTAAATTGTTCTCTGATATCTAACTGTTGGGTTTGAGTCTTAGGCGAGTAAAAAAAAATGCTCATTTTTTACTCTGTAAAATATCCCTACAATCAGAAGGCCCATAATTGACCATATTTGGATCGATCTTGAATATTAATGAGCTTTAGCATGCAGCTCTCACAGACACGCACACACAGCATGGCATATGCTGAACACACAAAGGAGAGAGATTTCTAGTTAAGTCTTTTTAACTTAATGGGTGGATTTTTTTTTAACTAAATGGAGAGAGTGAACTCTGTATTAGAAACCCATTAGAGTAACCTCTTTTGCTTACAAGATCTGTTGTGGATAAAGGCTAAAAGACAAACGAGGTTGATTGATATGTATTGTGTTGTATTTTTAGCTATAATGTCTAAGTACACATTGTAAGGTTTAATTATAAACCAATTCATAACTAGATGGGGTGTGCATATTGATGTTCTCAGAGCTACATATAAGTCTGTGTTCTCTTAATGACAAGGCTGCTTCTCAGGTCCGGATGAACAACCTAAAGTACATGGAAATGAAATGGGCATGGCCCCTGGGTCACATCACAATCTGCTTTGCCCTCTGATTAGCCACTAGGGTTTTACACTGGTGAAATTTACATGAGAACAAGGAAACCATGGCATCTAAGGCTCATGGCATGGCTATTTTCATATACTGATCTCCTATTATTCGACTATGCCTAGGTATAACCAGATTTTTGTGTCATGCCAAAATTCATGTTTGCTATCAGGTTTGCTTAATTGACCCTTCGCTAACTCACACCCAAAAACCGCCACCCACCAATCGTTGCTTGGCAACTGTAGCTACGCACAGGGGCTCTTTAAAGCTTACGAGTGAATGCATATGGATTGTGCAAGTCTGATACTCGGTATCCTTAAAATTTGGACGGGATGGTGTAATTTTTTTCCCTTTTCAAAACCTAAAACCCAAGAGAAGAAATGCCAGCGTGGATCAAGCTGTGTGAGGGGCGCTAATTGAGCGGAGCTAAGTTTTGTTTTGATATTCCTGACACAATTCAGTGATAGACAAATGACAATAACTCACACACCCCTTACCCTAAACAGGTCTAAACTGTGTTTCCTACAAAAACACAAAGCTGGTTATGTTTCACAGCTGTCTTATTCCTTTTTTTCCCACTTGATATTGTGAATAATGCTCCGTTTAAGCCTTCGCCATAACGTTAGTAACTTTAGTCATACTAATAGCGAATAGGTCATAATGACACAAGTTATTGATCCGGAAAATATGAATCTGCGAGTCTGTTGCTAACTTTACTAAACTTCATATTTCCATCTGTTTCAAGCTACAAATATTTGAAATTACAAATCAACAGAACAAAACCGAGATATGATCACAAACTGAGCTCTTGCGATCAATAGACTTTACCAGCAGCTGTTTTTCAGTCATTTATAAAGAGCACACAAACATACTGACAGTAATAGGTAATTTATTGTACATTGTTATGGGTCAATGATGTTAATATTTAGCACAAATCTATCAGTCCCCTTTATGGCTGTTCATGAACTATGTAAAAGCACTGTCATGCGCGTTTCCTCGTCGGTTAGTAACGCTATATTTCATTGCACAACAATTAATCTATTAGGCTTTTTGGCTAAAATAGAGAAATCACAGTTTCATTTGTTATTATTAGATTATTTTTAAATGTCACCTCTCCTGCTGAGCATAAGCTAAGCTGTTGAATGGCTAGCATATGAGGCGGCTAGGCTAAGCTTGCTTCAATTTTGATTACTTTATTCTCTAATCGGTTGCCTATATGTTGTGAATATACCCCTGTAAAACATACTGCAGTCCTTTGCTTGACT